TTTAAGCCCAACCAATTCAATTACCTGTCAAATCTGGACAGGACGGCCTTTCAGGCCTTTTTTATTGTCATTATAGTATTACGGGGAACCTCGTAGCAGCCACATCCGTGCTCAAGCCTCCAATGAGGGAACATGCGGGAGCTGCACCCACTAGCAGGTGCGACACCTGACTACAGCAGGTGGGCGATACCGGCCAGGGGTCGGCCGGTAGCATCAGGACCGAGCTTCTTCTATTGGCCAGTCACTGTGCCTCCCCTCCGGTCCCCTCCCCCTATGAACATCAGCAGTCTCTGCACAATGCCATTCGGGGAGACCAACGGTATATCTCTAGGTGGCGGGCGCCAAGCTTGCCCAGGAAGGTACATGAGGCCAATGGGGATTGAAAATGCCACTTGGATGCCTTGCCAACTGAGCTAGGCCGCTGAGACTGCCTGTGCTGCTATCTTTTTTTAAGAATTGCCTCAAAAACGGCTAAATGCATCAGTCTACGATTCTGGCCCCTGTGGAAATGGAGAACACTATTTGCCTTACGTGCTTGAGGGGAGCTGTTCTCGTGAGAGTCCTGAAAGGGCAGGCAGGGTGGAGCCCCACCCACGAATTCTTACGGCACGAGCGCCTTTCGGGGAATTCCTCCAAGATCCCTGCAGTGGAGCACAACCCTTAGCGTATGTGGCTCAAGAAGGAACGAATGGTCAGGTGCTACCCCTGGAAAAGAAAACAGAAAGGAGATCCACCTACAGGAGGTTGTCGGTTACTATCGGGAGATTGCGGGAGGAAGCAAGAACACACCCACACACATACACACACAAACACACACACACACAAACACACGCGCGAAACCAAACAGTCTAGCACAGTGTATAGCGAACGTGACAACACACACACACACACACACACAAAGTGACAACGCACAGTGACAACACACACACACACACACACACACACACACACACACACAGAGTATGAAAAGGTCTTAAAATGGAGTACGTCTGGTGGCGTATCCAGTGGGACGATGCAAAGGCGGGCAAACATGGAGGGGGGAAGGGTGTGGTGCTGCAGGCAAAAGGACAGAGAGTACACAATAGCGAGGTGGGGGGAAAGGGGAAGTACAGCAGAGAGGTATTCTAGCCTCCCTCCGCGTTTCCGAGTGGTTTCAACTGCTTGAGTACCCCTCTGCCGTTTTCAGTCCTTTGTGGGCTAACACTCTTGGGATGAACCTGGCCGTATTTTACGTCAGAAGCGCCCGACGAAGCGTGTGTATGTCCCCTTGGTCGTCACCCATGCCCTGACAGCGCACATGAAAAAATAACGGACGCCAGCCTCTCCAGATCATGTCTAGTCAATTCTCTCTCTCTCTCTCTCTCTCTCTCTCGCACGCGCTCCCTCCCACTCTTCCTTTCTCCCTCCACGCCCCGCCTCACTCCCTCTCTCTCTCTCGTGCTCTCTATGGTTGCTCGAGTGGCGCATTGCGGTGAGACAGGCCATGTGGCTGATTAGTACACACGAGTAGTTCTTGGTGAATAGATCAAGAGCTCGAATCTGACCGTGTTTAGCGGGCGGATACACGTCAAAGTCGTTGCGATGGGACAGACAGATAACGACAATCCCACTCACAGTACCGTATGGGACCGATAGCAGAGGAGGACGAGTAAAGCAGAAGGGAGAGCTGCAGACCGCATCTTCTCCAACGCGGCCAAGATGTTTTTTCGTTTTTAAAACTTTTTTTTGTCCTTACGACCGTTGGTCTTTGTACTCTACGGCGCACGACGAGGAATCCAGGCAGGTGGGGCCTTCCTCCCGACCGCATCTCCTTCCCCCTCCCCCCACCCACCCGATTGTCCTCAGACACAAGCAAGCACGTGCGGAAACCACCCACCCACCTCCCACCCACCTCCCACCCACCTCCGCACTCCCTCCCGCTTAACCCCCGTGGCGAAGTTCCACTTGCCTGGACTCCTCATTCTGGCCGTAGATCACGGACATCGCCGGCTACGAACGCACGAAGAATCCTTGCAAGTGGGCCGCCCGCTTCAGCAAATCGGCCAGAACGAGACGAAACCACACATGTGTATATATAATATATATACATACATATATGCATATGTGTATATATAATATATATACATACATATATACATATATATATATGTATATGTATATATGTATGTATGAAATGGGAGAGCAGTGGTGGAAGAAGGCTGGCCGGCTTGTGGAGTGGAGGGTGACGACGGAGCAGTGACTAAGCGTTTCTGAGCCGATCGATGTGTCGAATCGACGACTTATCAGCG